CACACACAGACACACACACACACACACACAGACACACACACACACAGACACACAGACACACACACACACATACACACACACGCACATACACACTAAACCCTCTCACATAGCTTTCTGGCTGTTGGTTTTAAAGCTTTCAATTTCCACACGAAACATAATTACAAAAATTTATACCCCCAAACCTGTTATTTACCAGGACAAAAAGACCTGGATTCATTGGACTAAAATCTCGCTGCCTCTTTTAAGGTGGTTGATCTCACACTGTCACCACCTCCTCCCACCACCAGCACTGGCCAAAGCCCCAGCCAAGCTCCATCCCAAGCCCGGTTACAGCCCCGGCTGTCTCAGATACGGCCACATTCTGACAGGCAGGCAGAAATGCTGCTGCTGCAGAGGAATTAAGGGGACCAGATGAGAGAAGCGGGGAGACAGGCAGTGCTGACAGGAGCGACCCCCCACCCCTCCCCCCTCCCAGGCCTCTCCTCGTGTTCCAGCACCTTCCCTCACGGCCCGACTTCCTGCAGCTGCCTCAGCCCACGTCAGCCACCCCCCCCCTTCCCGGGTGCAAGGAGTGTGTTCATGCGAGAAGTGTGCTATGTAACCTCACCACCCGCGACATCGCTACCCCTCGCGGCATGACATCACCACAGGAAGTGGACGACCTCACGACGTGACATCACCGCCTCGCCGAGAGCCGCTCAGACTGACAGGGGTGACCAAACCGGGCCTCATTATCTCCTGGTGTGATGCGGGTGCGAGAAGGGGCGGAGTCACTATGGCCCGGGGTCCAGCGATGGGGTTGGAAGGTGGTACGTGAGCAAAGGGGCCGGGCAGCTCGGGAAGGAGCCACAGGAGAATTGCAGGGAGGCGTAAGGAGGCTCCGAGACGCCCACCCCCCATCGTGGCCGGACCGGGATGACCGCAGCGTGGTCAGGTGACCTTCAGGCCCCTCCCCACGACCTCGATCAGCATCTGTGTGGGGGTGGGGCCTGTCCCTCACGCTGCCAATGAGAGGCTAAGGCCGGTGGCCGGGATGATGGGGACGGCGACCATCACGCAGCGGAGTGGAACGCAAACCCAGTGAAGGAGCTTCCTCATCATCAGCACGGCTAAGAAACACGCCTGGCGTGCGTTTTATGAGAGGAAGTGCGCAGAAAGATGACACAAGGCACTGAATCAGCCGGCAAGCCCCTGCACCCAGCATGCAAAAGCACAAGGTCCGATTGTGGGAAGAAAAAAAACAAGGAAACCAAATAACAGGAGGAAAAATCCCAGCATGGAAGCCCCCCCTCGCCTTAAAGTTAAAGGCCCAGAACGGCTGGGATTTAACGGCAACATGGAATTTTAAATCCTATTAAAATATGATAAACACAAAGTTTAAGTGTTTCCTGGGAATAGTGAGATCAACTGAAATTGGGTACAGGATTTTTAATATTACAAAAATATATATGAAAACAATCTCTTCAGCAGAGGAGCTGATTTGGGAGGGAAATTAGGGCTTTTATGAGTGATGGCAGCCATTTACCGGCCCCGTTTTTACGCTCAGCAGTTGGACGGATCGTCACGTGTAATGAATCCTCTTAAAAAGTTACGGTTTTATTACTTCTGTTAGCTGGGGTCCTTGTTCAAAACTGGGCTCGATCTCAGCTTCAGGCCCACAAACTTAAAAACCCATTAAAATGCAGGACCCTGGTCCAGATTCCCCTCGCCACCACGACTGGATGGGTGGAGGAACACCGTGACGGCCGGGAGCTTTATAAGCAGCTGCAGGTACCCGTCCCAGGGAAGCAGACTGGGCAGCTCAGCGAGGCCCTCTGGTGGAGGATCAGGGGTGAGGCCCCCACGCTCTGTACTCCAACTCCCATGCAGCTGAGCAATTAGAAGCCAAGCCAGCCAATCCAGTCAGGATATGGCCAAAAAAGACTTCAGTCAAACTTTTACATATTAATATGGTATGAAATTTAAAGCCATTTTTTTGGTTTTATGAAACAGGAGCAGACTTTTCCACCCAAAATCCTGTCTAAGCAATGTAGTTTAGTCACTGACTTCCCATGATGCACCAGTTTGTTCTTGGACAGGTGTGTGTGTGCGTGATTCTGAAATTATTACATTGTGGGGACCAGATTTCCCCACAATGGCATAAAAAAAACTTTACCTTGTGGGGACACTTTTTTGGGTCCCCACAAAGATAACCTTAATTTTGTAAAAATCTATGACTGCAACCAGAAAACTAAATATGCCAAAAGTCTTGTATTTTATTTATGGTTAAGGTTAGAGCTGGGTAGTGAAGTGAAACAACAATGAAACGCGTCCTCTGCATTTAACCCACTTGTGACACAGCAAGGGGCAGTTAGTATTTAGCACCTGGGGGGCAATGAGTGGGGGTGGTACTTTGCTCATGGTCTCTTAGTGGTACTTTGGCTGTTGGGGATTTGAACCAACAACCTTTAAATTACTTCGCTAACCATTAGGCCACCACTGCCCTCCAAGGCGTAGGGTTAGGGTCGCCATTGTTGGGATTAGGGATTCTCCCACTGAAATTAATGAAGAGTCCCCATAAAGGTATGAATACATGGACTGTATGTGTATGTATGTGTGTGTTCCGGTGCGTGTTACCCAGCCCGGCAGCACAGTTACCCTCTCCATGGTGCATTAGTAGATATACACAGTTTTCACAAGGAATACTGTTCTGTTCCTGTTCCTCTCCTTGGAAGATCACCTGCACAGCACTCTGGGAAAGGCACTATCTAGATGGACCTCAGCTTGCTCCTTTGTGAATCCATTTGTTTATCGAGCGATCGACTTCGGTCCACCGCTGCCTCGTTGGAAAATTCAGTTGCTGGTCAGTTTGTTTCGGTTGACTTTTAATGTTTGGCCCGTAAAGCCTGTCATATTTTGAATACCCCCCCCCCCCATCTCCTGATCTGCATCAATGAACCTTCAGGCTTCCAACCAGCTGATGTTCTGTGCAAAATGCTGTAACTGTGCACATATTTAAAAATACACTAACGTGGGCAAAAAGGTTACAAGAAGCCAATCACACACACATGCTCTCCCCTCCCCAAGCCACTCCACACTCCTCCATTAGTCACTGGTCAGTTTTGTGGTGAATCGACCGTGATAAACTCAATAACGGCCAATGAGCAGCACTATGCATTCTGCTAATTGGCTGAATCCCTGACGAATGGCTCCGGGCGACTCACGGGCCAGCAGATAGAAGCTTCCTTATTCAGCCCCATTGAGTTGGACCATAGAAATGCAGCCTATAGGTCACCAGCAATGTTATTCATTGAAGAACTGAGGTGGGGGGTGAATGAGTCTACTACAGCACGCCTTCCTTCCAGTGCGTTTCTCATTAGAATTATCAGAAATGCCCCCACCCCCGGGTCATTGAAGAAGCTGAAGACTGGAGCGATTCTGCTTATAAGAGCGTGTTCTCCTCGCATTCAGCGTGAGTGACACACTGCTGGAGGACACTCTGCCGGGGACTCCGAACGGAAGGGCCAATGCCCAGCGCTTAGAGCTCACGCGCCAGCAGGTGGCGAAGCAGATAAGGAGGTCTATCTGCAGCCTAGAAGACTACAGCTTCTAAACCAAAGAGGTGTGAACCACTATGTCAAGACGGCAAAAGCTGCTCCACAGACAAAAAACAACCTAAGACAAAACCAAAGACACTCACATAAGCTGTATAAGGGGGCAGGAGACACTGGGAGATCTCACCATTGAAGATGAGAGAGAGATACCACTCATTACAGACAGACCTACTTTCTCAATGAGTAATGGTCCACCAATGACGTACCACGAATCTCACTGAGACAGATCTCAGATCTAAACCAAGCAGACCAATCAATGAAAGGCTTTGCATATGATCAGGACGGACTGACCAACAAGAGACCTCTATCCATAATTAAAATACTGGACAAATCTTTCATATCTTTGCAGTGGATCAACCAAGGTCAGACTCTCACAGAATCTCACTTTAATCATGCACCACTTGTTCCTTTGATGTGTTCAGTGGTTCAGTCGGGCTTTGACCCAAACTAAGGCTCTCAGCTGTGAAGCAAACCCACCTCAAGGCCAGACCCAGGCCCTCTCACCTCATAGTGATAATCCATGCAGGTCAGGTCCATCCAGCACCGATCTCCCCTCACCTTGATGAGTCCCTGTGGAATAAAACAAACAACTACATGAAACTGGAAGAACCCACGAACCACATCACCAGTCAAACACATTCTCCTCCCCAACTATGAGCTCGACTTTCAGCTCAGACCAAATCCTTATGAACCAGGAAAACCACCCAGCCATCTTCATCTTCATATTTGCCTGTTTGTTTGTTATTTGCTTGTTTGTTTATGCATGAATTTTTGCCTGTGTTGTTATTTGCTTGTTTGTCTGTTTATGCATGAATGTTTGTCTGTGTTGCTGTTTGTTATTTATTTGCTTGTTTGTCTGTTTATGCATGTATGTTTGTCTGTATTGTTATTTATTTGCTTGTTTGTCTGTTTATGCATGTATGTTTGTCTGTATTGTTATTTATTTGCTTTTTTGTTTTGGGGGAGGGGGGGCTCTTACTCTAGGAGTTCTTTTTATAATGCTGAAAATTGAATTCCTCTTCTAGGATCAATCTCTGCTCTCATTAATTGACCCTAAAGGATTCCAAATGGCACAATCAGCATTAGCATTGGACCCACACCATCCTGGTCACGGGCACGCAGCAGATATAATTAACTTGATTAGGTTAAGTACCCCAATGATGGGCTGGACCTGGATTTACCCCAGTACCATTCCGTCCCAGTACCATTCAGTTCCCCTCTTCCTCCTAATTGGCTGCCAAGTAAAACAACCTTAACTCTTACAGCAAGAGGCATCTCCAGAGACGCTACTGACAGCTGTATTACATTCCCAGCGGCTGGTAAAGACTTTAGCAAACATGCAGCCGGCACTGGCGTTCGCCGGGGGATGCAGAGGGTCAGAGTCTGAGCACAGAGGAGGGACGAGGTTTCCAAGCCTGACCCGAGCAGACAAATATCTCACATACGACAAATACCTGGTGGGGGGGGGGGGGGGTCACGTGTATCTATGGGAAAGGGCCTGTTAGCCCATCCAAACTTCAGCATTGTCTAGAACACAGAGGGGGATGTATCCTCTTAACTGGGTCTACGTGACATTCCACGGTCCCCTGCGCAGAAACCGGGACAGCAGAACCACACAACTGTTTGAGCATCTCAAGACAAAAACAGGGAGTGTTTCTTAATACCAGGAACGTGATGAACATGAATACCGTACTTGTGGTCTTAGCGAACTTGCCTCCCAAGTACGAACTTGGGGCGCAATGAATCATGGGATTGGGATCATTTGGCGAGGAACCGATGGATCCTTGATATTTGGGGCGGGGCAAGAACGACATCTGGGGATTTTTACTTTCCTCCGTACTTCTGTTCTTGAGTATTGGAACTGATCTTCAACAATGGAAGGTGGTGTAAAAAGGGTACGCGGGAACACAAGTACGGTTGCTGGTTCAAATCCCAGACTCAGCAGAATGATTTCACCATTGGGTCTTTGAGCAAGACCCTTGACCTCCAACTGCTCCAGGGACTGGCTGACCGAGCCAGGAATTGGGGAAAAAGCACCATAACATCACCCAGGGCAACATCTCCCCCAGAAATCTCCACCCAACCATGACCAGCTGGGGCGTTTCTCAATTGTTAACCCATACTAAGCAGTACTGAAGTATTCCTCAAACTTTTGGGTTTCCATTGCCATCTTCTGTGTGAGAAACCAAGACGACATGTTCAGCACTTCGCCACACCAGGAACCTTGGGCCAGTATATTCTGGGGTCACACCCTGGTTCCCTCTTCACACAGTCCAGGGACTCTTAAGGGGCTTTCAGACTGAAAAAAACAGCAGGTTGCACTCAATGCACTGCGCTCGCTGCAGGGCGCAGTGCAAAAAGTAGGCGTGGTTTTCAAAACGCAGTGCTGTCATTTCGTTGTTGTCCCGGCTCGCGGTCATTCATGACGGTGTATATTTCGCATGTTAAAGGATGGCAAGCTAGTGTCATATAGCTCTGGGAACTCGGACACGAACGATACTTTCTCCTCCATTCTGATGTCTGTGCCCGATTCGGTGACTTGCTTGTATTGGTCGCCGCAACAATGCGTCACAGCATGCAGCGATCAAAGCTCAACAAAGTTCAACTTTGACCACGAGGTGGACATAAGCTCCCTGAGAGATGCGTGAGACCATTCCTGTGCTGCACGGCGCTGCAATTGCAGTGCAAAGCCATTCTCACGCTGCAGAATCCATAGAAAATAATGCCCGGTTCGGTCTGAAAGCCGCTTTACACTTCTCTGCATGGCACTGTTTATGAAATGTCCTCCTTGGAACTGTTTTAAGAGTACCGTAATAAGTTCACACGTCCAATGGCTGCTCACCGCATTAGCGGAGAATTATCAGGTGCCAAGGCACAGCGAGAGAGGCCTAATTAACGAAGTAATTGTAATTACGGGTGACCAAGGATACACACTGTTTCTCAGTAACTCTGTGTCCAAATTTCATTTAAGACGACGACCTCATTCTCCAAATAATATGGTCTTTGTGGAATGGTATGCCGCGTGCTCCAGGACTTACACAACTGGCCATTTTACTGATAGGTCATGCGTTTGCATCCTAGATAATGCCCCATAGATTAAGTCGAGGTGTTTGCAGTTAGAAAAAGAATCTGTAAAATATAGTTTCCCCTTGACATTTGCAAAGGATAGAGGTGGAAGATCTCTGTGAATGTGAAAATTTGCAAATGGTACCTGGGCTCTTTATTAAAAATGCAAAATTAACAGCACTGACGTTTCAAACGGGTGGCGAACTCAAGCCAAGATGCAGAGATCCCAGGTTTTAAGGGGCTAAGGGCTTAGCTGAGGGGCCCAGTGCTGAAATCACTCTGGGATTTCAACCGGCAACCTTCTGTTCGGATGCAACTAGGTTGATAATAATGGCAGTGAAAGCAAACCCTGCAGTCAGAATCCTGATGAAGGACCCTAAAAATCCACACAGAAATCTGCACTCACAGAGCTCAGCCAACAAACGGATTCAGCCACACGCTGAGACTCGGAGGAGAATGGAAATCAAATGCAGTCGTTCTGTAAGGGGTCACTGTTCCTCCTTTTGGAAACACTCAGCGCTTCTGGTGAAATTCTGTGATCTAATGATTCCCCATTTATTGTCTGCTGAAGGCCTTTGATCGACCAGCCAAGGGGCGAACAGGCAAGAGTCGGGGTGGGGGGGGGTAGGGAGAAACTGGGGACAAGCACACCGTCCTGTCACTTCCTGGTAAAGTAGAGGGTCAAGGGAAAGCTGTGTCTTGAAAAGAGAAAGTTCCAGAAAACAAGGCAGAGCTGCAGGGGAGCACGCAGAAGCGGGGAGGGGGACTGGGGAATGCGTGTGGGGGGGTGGGAGTGGGAGGACGGGGTCAAGGTTCAGGGGTTGGGGTTCAGGGCACCAGACTGCCCCCCCCCTTCCCCTCCGTCCCCCGGCAACAGTGCATATAGAGCCCCTTTCTTCAGACCATTCCGCAGCAAATGCGATTGAAGCAAATTAGCGCAATTATGCACAGAGATGCGCGTAAATGGGGGGGGGGGGGAGGGGCGATTCTGCTGACGGGAAAAACAAAGGCGGCAGATGGGAGGACATTCCTGCATTTAGCACGTTAGGGATAATCGAATGACAAGGCCTGGAATGCCGATTTTCCTCCTTCAAAAATGTAACTCCCCACTAATGTGAGGATGCCCCCCATCCCCACACTTCACCCCCACTGATCATTCTTACTGACTGCAACAAACACACCACCACTAACACCGGGACTTTTAGTTTTTATTTAATTTCAGTCACAGTTTTGTGGGATTCGAACCCACACCATGCCGGCCTTCAAGGTCAGGAGCCTGCTGAATGCAGACACGTCGGCAAAGTGCTTCCAGAATGCAGAAAAAAATGCACCTCTGACCACAACAGAGCTGAGTGCTGCTTGTCAGGGGTAATAACCTGCCGCCATACAGAGGCGACAGGCATTTCAAAGCAGATTCTCATTTTCTTTTGGAAGTTTCAGAAAGTCTCGAAAGCTGAGCCAAGTTCAACGTAAGTCCTAGGAACAGAACAGTGTGGCTCGCTGACAAGACGACCCCCAAGAGGGCAAAAGATAGGGCCCCCTAGAAGGTAGCGGGGACAGGACCCGGTGAGGACCGCTAGGCCGCTCCAGAAGGCCCGACACGAGGGGCCTGAGGCGTGAAGAGCAGCCAAGCGGCCCAGATGACGTATCGCTGTTCTGTATCCGCCCTGTAGGTGGCACATCGGCGCCAGACCTCCAGCTACATCCAAAGCGTGCTGCTCAGCTGACAGGCAGCCTCGCCTTCCTCCTCCTCAGCCCCACCAGGCTGGAGCGCGGGGACTGCCAAAGGGGGGGCACTGTGGGGGAGCTGCCTGACCTTTACCCTGACGAAGCACCGGGAGACCTGAATCACATCCTGCACAGGAAGTGTTCTGTTTGGGAGTAAGCGGAGTAAAAGGGCAGGGATCCTAGAGCAAGTCAGTGAGGAACCGCTATGCATATACACATACACATACACACACACACACACACACAGACAAATACACACAGACAGACAAATACACACACACACACACACACACACACACACACACACACACACACACAGACACACTCTCTCTGTTTCCATTTACAAACTGTCCCATATGTACTGACTAGACCAGTTTCCTTATACCAGTACAAGTCACCCTGATTCAAAGCAGGTTTTGGGTTCATATACTCGAGTTGGGGTGGGGTGGGGGGTTACATTAACACCATGCTGGACATGCATGGCTGTCGGGATGCCAACTCTGGGCAAACCAGCAGCGGGGACCAGCAGAGCAGGCGGGCCACATAACACGCTTACAATGTGCTTACTACACACTTACTATGTGTTTACTACACGCTTATCATGCAATACCGCCATCTTCATACCACACTGCAGTTACTAACCCCCTCCCCCCACCGCAGAGGAAGCCCCTGATCTTCTTGAAAGATTTACACCGGTTTGGGGGGGGGGGGGGGGCACGATGGCTGGACAATAAAGCCCTTTTGCAGCCCAGCTCCGGGACCATTAGCCCACCAGCCATGAGCCCCCTAGTCAGGCCCTCAGGAAATCGTTAGCATGGCCAGGCTATGCTCAACACTCGGGGCCCTGCCCAGCGCAGACCGCACCATCGCCATGGAGAGTTGTCACGGCTACCCTCTATGACATCAGCAGCCAATTAATTCAGTCATAACCAAGTCATAAGCTGGGCTTAATTCTTGCACGTGTTAGCCAGAGATAAAGATCATTCCTTCATGATTATTATTACTCTTCTGGTACTCGGCGCTGGCACCCAAGGCTCCAGGTTCCCCCTCAAGGCCGTGTCGTGCACCAGGACCTGCTGGGAGGTGACGCCAGCGAGCAGCTTCACTCAATCCGACGCCGCTTTAATTATTTATGAAAAATAAAGCCGTTTTAAATCGCACCCTTAATTGGATTTGCCCAAACTAGCGAGCAGTGACACCAGCACAGTGAGGTGAGCCTCGACGGCACGAAACCGCCTCTGGTGTCACATGGCATCTGCGGGACCGTGACTCACGTCCGAGAGGACAGGGAGTCCCGTCCCGGCCGCATCTCGGGGACACGCCCCGGCAGAATCAGGGAATGTGATTCACGCCAACGTGCCGGATACAGTTACCCAAATCTCCACTAAGAGGGTTAAACTGCAGCAGCAGTCAGACGAAATGTGTGAGGTCTCACATTTTCAGCACCCCGTGCATCTCACTAGCGGGGGGGGGGGGGGGGGTTATTAACGGTATAAACGGAAACAGAGGCGGCAGCGAGAGGCCGGGCCTGATGTCCGGCCGTCTGAAAGCTGTTTGGGACCCCCCAACTGAAGCTGTCCCAGAGCGCTGAATAGGTGCTGGGGGGGGGGGGGATTCATGGCTCTGCTTTCCTTTTGGGAAAGGAAAGTGGGATAAAGCTAGAGGCCCCCCCACGAAAAAGCAGGGTGGTGTTTCAGGAACGGCCCGGCGGCCCAGCGGCTCTCGTTGTGTGGTCGCAGGCTTTCACAGTGCTGCGCCCTTCCTGAACACACCCCACCCACACATGTAGCGCCCCCTGGAGGCTCCTAACAACAGGTGCAGGAGCCTACCCTCTGAGCCATGAATGACCAAGAGTGACGAGGCAGGGGGAACTATGGGTCACCGGGGGGGGCAGTTTCACTGATTTCACTGATTTATTTGACTTTATTTTCTTCTATTTTATTTATCTGGGGACCATCATCACTAGATGACCCCCTGGCGTCTCGATCACTTCGAGAAGCTTACGTCACTACTAGCCCACCCCCCCCCCCCACACGGATAAGGAACCCCAGACGGGGGGGGGGCTCGCCAAGGACGCCGGCCAGGTGACGTCACCCGTCACCAGGGGGGCAGGGGCACAGAGCAAGGGAAACCATAACGGCAACACCCACTGGTGCCTGACGGAAGAGGCTCATTGGGGGGGGTGCCGACACAGGCGGGTTGGAAAGTTCACTAAAGTTAGGGCCATGCGAGGCTTCATCAGATCATAAGGGCGCAATAAGGCCCCTCCCCCAATAAGGCCCCTCCCCCAATAAGGCCCCTCCCCCAATGGCCGACTGCCCACAAGCACTTCACACTGCCACGGCGAGATGTGATGCGGAGCAGGATTAATACGATGGCAGCGCAATGGCAGTAAAAAGGGATCCTCTTGCAATTTAAGGCCCGTTCATTCGCACCTTTTTTATACAGAAAAAAAAAGCTGTAATTACCTCAGGTCCAGGGATACTGTCTGATGCAACCCCCCCCCCCCTTTTTTTAGACAGACGTACGCTCTTAATTTGACAGTGTTCCCTGGCACCGGCTGCTCCCCTCCTCGCCACACACACCCAGTGCCCCGGGGTCTGCGCCAGCCTAACTGCAAACACACTCTGGTGATCGCGATGGCGGCGAGCCTTAATTTCGGCAGACGGGGGTCTGGGCTGCCCTGCTGCCGTAGGAGCCATAAAGGTGCAGACACAAACACACACAGACACGGGGCACTCTGCTCCCCCTGGAGGCCGGGAGGTGCGGCGCGGCTCACGTACAGCCCCCAGCATGATGCGCACGATGAGCCAGCGGAAGGTCCAGATGCAGAGGCGGGAGGGCGGGCAGTGGGGGGGCACTGGCTGCAGGCTCCACACAGGACACAGGAAGATAGCCAGGAAGCCCGTCTCCAGCAGCTGGCTCTCCCAACCTGGGGAAGACAGGGCAGGACAGGATGGCACAGGGAGATGGGGTTACGGCGGCCTGCAGGGGGCGACAGCGAGGCCTCAACCTCCATCGGCTGTAGTGGAGATGGAGGACATCACCTGTAAGCCCCAAACAGTTAATCCTGTAAACATAACCCACACAGGCCTGAATTACAGCGGACAGCCGCCGATTTACATGGTAACCTGGTAACCCAGTAAAAAGGGCTTAAAACTAACACAGAGGCCAAGAGCTCAAAGAATCAGTAAAGGAGCTCGATTTCGGGTTCAGTGACAGGCAAAAACACAGACAGACAGACACACACACACATAGACTCATACACAGACACACACATAGACTCATACACAGACACACAAACACAGACATACACAGACAGACAGACAAACAAACACAGACACACACATAGACTCATACACAGACACACAAACACAGACAGACAGACAAACAAACACAGACACACACATAGACTCATACACAGACACAAGGCACAGCACCACTGGAGAGGCCCTGGGTACATGCATCACATGCACACGTATGATTGTGTACACGCCCATGAACAGTTTCAGCCAAAATGGACTTGATGCAAATCTGGGGTTTGCATGGCGCTTTGCATGCTGGTCATGCTGCCTGAGCGTGTCTGAGGTGAGGTCATAGCGGCCTGTGGGGGCTGGGGGGGGGGATGGGCTGGTGGTTTGAATAACCAAATGAGGCCCATTCCCACCCTGATCCAGACAGTCTGTAATGTTGCTGTCCTAGTTCGTGTGGGGACAGCGGTCATATCTTTGTGGGGACTCTCCATTCATTTCTAACCCTAATCCCAACTATGACGACCTTAACCCCTAACCAGCCCTAACCTTAACCATAAGTAACCAAACAAAATACTTTTAGCATTGGTTTTTTTATTGCAGTCACAAATTTTTATAAAATTGAGTTGGTAACACTTTACTTCATTATAACGCATTATAGATACCTTTATAAGGCATTATAATGCATTCATAAAGTACTATGAATACGGCTATAACTACACTGCCCGTCCAAAAAAAAAAGTCGGCATTTGAATTTTTAGTTGGGCCGATTATGGTGCACATTTGTCATGGCATTGTCTCCACAAGCTTATGCAACATCTCATCCTTTATTTTCATCCAGATTAGCATTCATTTCTCACCAAGATCCTGTATTGACAAGTGAGTTGAACCTCCGTAAAGCCTCCTTCAGCACATCCCAGAGACCTTCAGTGAGGTTAAGGTCACAACTCTGTGGTGACCAAGTCACGCGTGAAAATGGCTCCTCATGCTCCCTGAAACACTCTGACAATTTGAGCCCATTGAATCTTGGCATCCTTGTCCTGGAATATGCCCATGAAAACAGGGAAGAGAAACATCCATTGATGATGGATGGAGGTGTAACCTGGCCATTCAGTAGATTCAGGTACTCAGCTGACTTCACTTTATTGCTGCATAACGTTGCAGGACTGTAATAATGATCCAGTCATTGGCTTTTAAGTATTTGCTGATATAAATTCAAATGGCGACTTCTTTTTTGGACGGGCAGTGTATTTATAAAAAGGCATCATAATGCATTATGATAAGTGTTACCACTGAGTGTTCTCTTTTAGAGTAAAAAATGAAAAAGTCACAGATGGTCCCCACAACGTGATAATTACATGATCAGACACACACACACACACACACGTCAAATTCTAAACCGCTTCTATCCAGAGACAGTAAGGCAGGTTTGAGCTCGACGTGGGATCAGGACTGACAGTGGGGCAGGGGGGGCTGGCAAATCCCGTGAGGCGGCCCTGCTGATGTACCTTAGAGTGTCACACACAGGGACAAACAGCCCATGGTAAATACAGGAAAGTTTAGAAGTTTAAGAGGACTGAACCGTCTGCTGACATAGATCCTCCCCCCCCAGGGTAAGCCATGCCTCCCCCAGGCCCCCAAAGCTCTCACGCAAACATAATTACATGGGCCAGATAAGGGATTTTCATATGGAAACATCAGTGCTCTGTGCTGGCAGACAATACCACCCCCCACCCCCCCGCACACTCTTACGTAACTCGGCATCCAGCGGTGCCAGTCCATGAGTCCTGTAACTACAGTGCTGCACCCACCCAGGACACTAATGCCCCAGTGGAATCCCCTGCCCCCATACTGGAAACCAGCCACAGCCATCCGAGCGTCAAAAGAGGGTATCGCTTTGGTCACTGAGACCAAAAGGGACCCAGCCGAATCCTGAAGGTGACACTAGGGCTGTGACAGTGACAGCTTACAGGTTAGTGTGACCTGAGCTTCACAGCTCATTCATGCACCTGCCTTAAGAATCCCTACCAGCAGGGGGCCTGGCGGTTGAGGAGTTGGTTTCTGTAAAATACAGCGCCGCCAGTTCAGTAAACATCTGCTGATTGATAATAAAACCGCTGTGAGGTGCTTGGATTCTTGGTGTTTGTGCTGATCCTAAGGGGGAGGGGGGTGAAACACTAGGGCCTTTGAGCGCACTGGGTGTCGGGGGGGTGTACAGACATGTCTCCGCCACCCCTACCAGCATCTTGCTCCCTCCAACGCGGCAGCGGTAATGACTGGGAGACACAGCAGTGCCCCCTTTCTGCTCCCACAAAGCCGCCAGCAACCTGTGATCCTTGGGTCGGGCAAAACGCACTCGTCCCCAGTCCAACATGAGTCTGCGAGCGGTGTGAATGCCAGGGTGCGGCGGCACTGCTGAGGGAAAGGCGGCCTCACTCCCAATCGGCCCGGAGACGAGAAGCTGGACATTCACACTCCTTTAGCCCCCTTTCAAAGCCGGTCTCACACCCGATCGGCCCGGAGACGAGAAGCTGGACATTCACACACCTTTCGCCCCCTTTCAAAGCCCGCCAGACCCAGGGGGGCTTAAGCGGGAAAGGAGGTAAAGTGGAAATCCACTGACGACAGTGTGTCAACAATTTTGGATAAAACTCTTCTAATATCTGCAGTGCTGCTATTACATATTATTAATACCATATACTTAACACCATATAAGTTATTATTCATATGACCCCAGCCAAAATAAGAGGTTGAAAGGTGAATAATCATTATTATTATTCGTTTTCAGTGCCACTTGTCCCGGTCACACAAATATAGGGAAATCATGCTGCTGACTCTGGGATTTGAACCAGCGACCTTCTGATAACGCATAAAGATTGCTAACCCAATGAGCCACTATTGGCACCATCAACATCATCATCCTTACATTCACTTAAAGCTCCCTTCAGGAACACAGAAATCCCACCGCTCTTTAGAACTAAAGAAATGCCATCGAACCCCGACCGGTGGGTCCGGATCCACACACAAGCTGGCGTCAACACGTGCATCTTGGCTGGGTCAGAGGTGGCATCCGCATGCGCCGGCGCGTGTGGAACCGTGTGGGGCCTTCTGGAACGTTCTGAAGGGCCGTGTTGTTGATCCACCTGCTGTCCCGTCTCTTCAGCTGGGTCGGTGGGGGGGGGGGGGGGGGGGGTTATTAACGGTATAAAC